AAAATTCATTTAAATCTACAGAGTAAGGATTTATGTCCAATCACTTAAGTCAAAGTCCTCCCTCCTCTCTGAAGCTTTCCGTTAGTTTTTTAGCCCTTAACGGTTACATTTATTGACTCTAACACTTGTTTGGTAAATGTATCATGTTTTATGTATTCAAGATTTTGGTTGCCATTTGGGGTAGGTGTATGATTATCTTATTTCTTACATTTTGATCATGAGCATTTAGGGTAAGAATGTAGCATTACATGTCTTTTTACCAATTGCTCAGCTGAGTGATCCAGGCACAGTGAGGAACTTAATAAATCTTTGTTGGTTGATAAATGCATGATTAAATAAAGAAGTGTTCCTTTGAAATCAGCAATTCTCTTTAAGAGTCTATGACAATGTAATCTTTGGATGATGGCATCCAAGGAGTCATTTCCACATGGTATAGGCTCAGCAATCAGTCATAAATGCCTAGGATTACATCCCAGCTCTGACACTTGTTTGTAGTGTGTTCTTGAGCAATTTACCTAATATACCTCTATAAGGTTCAGATTTTCCATACGCAAAAAGTGGTGCCAAATGGGGAAAGGGAGAGCTTTCTGTGGCAAAAGCTGTGATGGAGAGAGAGCATGCTGTGCTCTGGGAAGTAAAAGAAGCCCCCCTGTGATGAGATTACAGAGAGTAAGAAGAAAGAAGCAGTTCAGGTCTCTGTATGGCCTGAACTGGTGGACCCATGTCAAAGTCAGCATCTGTGGGGCAGCTGTCCTCTGCCATGGACATTGCAGGTCTGCTGTGGAATGAAGCCACGCAACATAGAGCAGTAGAAATTCAGCTGACAAGGAAATATTGCCTGGCTTCCTGTAGGCTTTTAATGCCTAGTAGTCCCATGCCCTCGGGGAGGGGAGGGTCGGAGGTAGAGGGTAGCTGCTTTCAGTTTCTGCAAGCTGCCCTAGGATCCTTCCAACAAAATACTAGTTGCTACGGTGACTGGAAATTAGTTTTTGTTATATGTAATCAAAAACACTAATTAATTCAGCAGGATTTGAGGAGCAGGTAGTTCAATTTTGGACTTGGTAAATTTTCAGTGCCTGTGAAACAGTCGTGTAAGCTTTAAGTAGGAATACGGAAGTCAATGGTTAGGATACTATCCTTTTGCATGGATGGCGGGTAAACACATTGTCCCACTTGAATACAGATGCTCTTTCTTTGGTAAAAATGTGGTTAAAAGTATTTTGTGCTGATGCTCAACATTTTTAATGGTACTATGTGGTAAAATTTTGTTTGAATTGAGATCCAGTGAAAAGCTTACCTATGCTGATGTATTCTGTTTTCACATTTATATAACTGAATGTGTTTCTTTATTTGCATTTATGTACAGCAAAACTGGAAGCAAATTTAGTGACCAATGGTAATCAATCTATTTTAAATGCCTGCTAAACTTTACCTTTTCTTGTTCCTTTTAAACATTTTGTATTCTTTTTTATCCCCAACTGTTCTATTTTTTAAATATGCTCAAATTTTCGGACAGCTCTAAAGAAAAGATATACCTCTTCGTTATATTTAAGTGGTATAACAGAGAATGGGAATATATAAACATTAACATTCCTCTAGAAATCAATTTAATTCAACATCTCTTTCCCCATTTATAATCAGTCAAGAAAGACTGAATAGAAAATAGTTCAATATTGGTAGCAAAAATACAATTTCATTAAGAAAAATGACAACTGATCTGGCATTAGAACTTACTGTAGTCTTATAAAGACTGCAAAAATTCAGATATGTTTTGAGTTTATTACTTGTAACATATGATTGCCATGCAAATTCACTCCCCTGGGCTGAACAATAGATACAAATTGGATTATAAACTCCAAAGTAACAAAATCAAATTAGGGCTTTGTAAATGAAACACCAAACTTAAGCACTGAATTTATTTTTAGGATAAAAAAGCAATGGAATTGAAATTAAATTCTAGAAACTGGGGAAGATATGTTCACTTCTACATTTGCATTAAATATTGAATTCAGAACAATATATTGAATACTTCTATCAGTAAAAAAATCAGCCGATAGAGTGTTTTGTTTTACGTTCTCTTGGTATATGTTAGACAATCTATGGGCTAGAGGACATCACTATGTTGTGACTTATATGCTAACATATGAAAACAGTTTTGTTGAGTGCAATTCAAGTTCCATCCTATCTATTTGTCCATCCACAAATTTCAAGAGCTTACTGTGTGGCTGGAGCTAGTCATCCTTCTTAAACAGTTTGGCCTGTGGCCATCCATTGTAAACTGGATCTCTGGACTTCTAAATAATCCCTGTAGTCTGCTACAAGGCCTTTAGAAGAGTTTCTGATGTTTTTGCTTTCTAAAAATCTCATTGATAAGCATTATGTTAAAATTCATATTTGTGGCTGTTTTGGGATTATAAATACAGTATGTGTTCATTATATAAAATTTAGAAAATTAGAAAAAATAGAGAAAAAAATCACCAATAATTAATAAATAGGTAATAGTCTTTGCTGCCATTTTGAGGTATTTACTCCTTAGTCTTTTTTTCTATGAATACAAATATATAGTCACGTTTTGCTTTAACGATGGGTATACATTATGAGAGATGCATTGTTAGGCAATTTTGTTGTTGTATGAACATAACAGAATGACTTACACAAACCTGGATGGTATAGCCTACTATATACCTAGGCTATTTGGCATAGACTACAAACCTGTACAGCATGTTACTGTACTGAACTCTGTAGGCAACTGTAACATAATGGTAAGTGTTTGTGTATCTAAATATAGAAAAGGTACAGTAAAAATACAATAAAAAAGGTATTGTTCACCAGTACCGGGCATTTACCATAAATGGAGCTTGCAGGACTGGATGTGCTCTGGGTGAGGCAGTGAGTGAACAGTGAGTGAATGTGAAGGCCCAGGACACTACTGAACACTGCTGTAAACTTTATAAACACTTAGGCTATACTAAATTTATTAAATATAATTTTCTCTTAAATAATAAATTAACCTTAGCTTACTGTAACTTTTTAATTTTATAAACTTTTTATTTTTTCAACTTTTTGACTCTTGTAATAGCACTTATTTTAAAACATACATTGTAATACACGCATTAAAATATTTTCTTTATGTACTTATTTTATATGCTTTTTTCTATTAAATTTTTTTTTTACTTTTAAACTTTTTATTAAAAACTAGGACGCAAATGCACACATTAGCCTAGGCCTCCAGAGTGTCAGGATCACCAATGTCACTGCCTTCCACCGCCACGTCTTGTCCCACTGGAAGGTTTTAAGGGGTAATAACACCCATGGAGTTGTCATCCCCTCTGAAAACAATGCTTTCTTCTGGACTACCTCCTGAAGGACCTGCCTGGAGCTGTTTTACAGTTAATTGGTTTTAAAAAATTTTTATTAGTTAGAAGGAGTACACTCTAAACTAAGGATAAAAAGTATGATAGAGTAAATATATGAACTAGTAACACGGTTGTTTATTATTATTAAGCATCATGTACTATACATAATTGTATGTGCTAAACTTCTATATGACTGGCAGTGCAGAAGGGTTGTTTACATCAGCATCGCCACACATACAGGAGTAATGTGTCACACTACATCATGATGGCTACGGCATCACTAGATGGCAGGAATTTTTCAGCTCCACTATAGTCTTATGAGACCACTGTTGTCTATGGAGTCCATCATTGACCAAAATATCATTTTGACCATACATATTTTTATGTAGACACACACAAATGTACAGTTTTTGCTTGGTACATTTTTGGATCATACTGTAATACTGATTATTTTTGCCAAGTTTTTTATTATTGTATATTGTGAAATTTTTTTCCGCCAAATTTTTTTAGAAATAAAGATTTTAATAACTATACCTACATTCTATCAAATTGTTAAAGCTACTGTATTTAATATTTTTATTGGTTAATTGTAGTTTTTCTTTTGTTAGTAGTCTCTTTATAATTAGTACAATTAGTACTAGGGCATATTTATACATAACAACAATTGCTACAGTACCTCTACCTTTTAAGTTTTAGTAGAAATTAAAAGTAAACAAGACATAAACTGTCTAACAAACAAAAAGAAAAAGTAGAATAAATGGAACCTGAAAAATTTACAGCATAACTTAAGACTAATCATGCCAATTATGACAATAAAATAGTTGGAATATCCTCTTCCACTAAAAGACAATAACATTTAACGTTGTTAAAAACTCCAGTGTATTCTGCTTATATTGATACGAAACTAAACAAAATAATGCAGAAATTCATAAATAAAATAGAAAAATAAAATTTGGCCTGATACCAAATAAAATGGGAAAAAGTTTAAAAAATTGAAATCACATGGTGTAGAGTCTCCACACTTTAGCTAAGGCTGAGTCTTACAATTAAAAAAAAAGTCTTCCAGTTTGACACGCAAATATGGTATACTTCCTACATTAATTTACATTTCTCATTGTTAGTAAATTTGAAGATTTTTCATGTTTTTTAGAAGAATTTTTCTTCCTTTGGTATTTGCTTTCCATTTTCTTACTAGTTTAAGTCATTTTTTGAAATAATTTTAAAACATCTAATATAGTTGTATTGTTAATAAATTTATCTATCATATAGATTACAATTTTGCCTTTGTTTTTCTTTATATATTTGGTTTATGGAGGTGTTTTGTTAACACATAACAGATTTTAAGTGTTTGTGGTGAAACATACCAGGTTTGCACTTTACAATTTTTTTCCTTTTGTGTTTCTCTTTAGAATGGCCTGAGATAAATATTCAGCTACATGATTCTCCAATTCTTTTTCGTAAGCCATTTAATTGAAAGCTGGGGTGAGACTCATCATGCTCTTTGGCAATAGTGTGGCCTAAATGACCATTTCTTTACAAAGGCAGACTTGGCCAGGAGGAGCTTGTGACGGATCTTCCCACAGCCTTCCTCCAACTGCTAAACGGCAAAGATATTTATGTCACTGAGGATCTCTACACCTGTGGTCAGTGATTTCATGCTGCTCATGGCTCATTTCATGCCGAGCAGCAGGAAAGGCCACTGTGCAGCTTTCCCAGGCTGAATATGAACTCATCTTTTCTCGAGCTGTGGCACACTTTCCCCAGTCTGCGGAGAAAGGCAGAAAACGTGGTGCCCAGTACTACTGCTTGGACTTTTTCTTTAGGCTGCTTCATGGACAAGGTGGGGCCTGCTGCATGTTAAGCTGGTGGAACTGAAAGGATAAGCTACTTATGAGATATGTGTCTCAGCCTACTTTGTAAACTGAGAGGCCCTATATGAATGCTGTTTCTGATGATATTATTATCAGGAATAAAGGGGCCTATTTGGCTCTTCAATAAAATATGAACTTCATGTATGCTGTTGCTTTTCATATCACATAGATTAAAAATCCTCTCCTCTTGCTGTAGAGTGCTGATTTTGTTAAATCTAAACTTAAAGGGGTGATAAACATTAAAAGAATTTAAACTATGCAATGCAAATTCTACCTTTATTTGCATAGGCTCAAACAAAGGGAATTTTGGTTAAGAAGCTGCATTTAACAGAAACTTAATGTGATATCTCTTAGTATTGGGATTGTACTGAACTGAGAAATCCAGGTCAAGAGACCTTGCCTGCTGGACTTTGATGATGTTTTGCCAAAGAAATGATGGAAGCTCCATCTTTGAGGCAGCTGATGTGAGGCTGGCCAGGATCCTGAGAACATGTTTTAAAAGGACCCTATGCTGGCAAGAAGTACAGAGATGACTTCATGGGACTTCTGAGTCTGGAATTTCTTTGCTTCTATTACCAATTATTTTTGCTGGATTTTTGACACAGTGTTTTTAATCTTTTTTTAATCTAAACAAAGATAACTGTCAACTTCCTGAAGTTAAACTTTAGTCCTGCTGCTGCCATGGGACCGACCTCATACCACCCTTCTTTCAACATCTGACCAGGATGGGGATCGGAGCAAAAGCGAGGAGCTCCTCTTGGACAAACTGAGCTTTTCTCTAGCAATGAAACCTGATTAGAGATTAGAGTAGGGGCTAAACAAGTGAAGCAATGGTAAGAGACTCTCCTGAGCATATACATTTGAGCACACTGTTTTTCTCCTTTTTGAAAAAACAAAAACAAAACAAAAAACAACTAAAGTGCTGCAAATTAACAAACTCAGAAAATGTTAATATGGAAGGCAATGCTATATTCTCAGAAACTTTTTTGACTATAATCCCCACAATATTAATATTGATAAGGAAAACCCCCATCTGTTACTTGGCACATCAGCCACCTGAGACCCCCACCCCTCACGGAAGACCCGCATCAGTATAATACTAACCTATTACCTGGCCCATCAACTAATCTATTACCTGGCGCATCAGCATAACACTAAATCTATTATCTGACACATCAACTAACCTATTACCTGGCGGGCATTAACCACCTGACACCCTACCCCCCCAGACCACCACAACTTAATAAAAGTGAGAAAAATCGGGTAGACAGGGCTCAGAATTTGGTGGCGAGACCCCTCTGAGCCTAACCGGCGAATAAACTTTAATTTTCTGACTCTCCATGTGCCACTCGGTTTGTCTTCAGGACCACTTGCTGTAACTCTTGCTGTACCAATATTATATTAATAGGATACTAATAACCCATTAACTCTAACAAGGTCCAGGTATTGTGTTAGGTGTTTTACCAGAGCAACATCATACACTCTGAATCTTGTAGGAAAGTCATGGCTCACTCTCATCCTGATGTAAGTTTTAATAATATCCCTATTCACTCACAAAAATGTATCAATTTAAGTGATAATTTAAATGATCATACTATTTTTATGTGACCTGTTACACTTTATCTTAATAAGAACTGTGAGAAAGATACTATGCTTATAATTCCCATTTTGCAGATGAGAAACTGATTTACAGAAAGATTAAATAATTTACCTAAAGCCACACAGTTTTTAAATGGCAGAAGCCGCAAGTCAAATCCAGGCAATTTGGCCTCAGAGCCTGAAATGGTAGGTCCCCAAGATTTGTCCTGAAGCTGGGTCCATGAGTGACTTCTAATTCATGGTATGTTCTTAGACTAGAGCAGAATCCGGATTCATACTTGGGTTCTTTTGGTCAGGACAAGCTGCTGTGCGTGCTTTCATTCTCATTTCTCCTTCCACAGACTGGTAAAGAGATATTCAAGTGTATGAAAGGACAAGTTCTCAGATAGGGCATGTCTGCTAGCCCCCAGAGAAGAAAGTGCAGAATGCAGATAGAAATTCTCCCACTTGACCTGAGCAAATTCCAAAAAGCAAGGAAAAAGACCTCTGATCTCATGGTAGAGACCTCGTAGGTCTGGTTATGTGCCTTGTGGGAACTCTACTTTTGAGGCATCAGCTGGTGGACCTGGATGAAAGCTAGAGATTGCATATTCTGGCTGGTAGATAGCGCACCCAGGTAGTGTGACATGAAAGCACTATGAGTTAATTTACAGAACACATTCTTTTTTGGAGTTTATATTATAGACAACACTGTATTTTATTGATCTCCAACTTCTGAATGCGAAAAACTCTTTTGGGTATATTAAAGAAATAAATGGAGACTGCTAAGTAAATTGCACTTTTAAAATGTCACTTATTATTATGTTAACAAGTTTACTTTCTTGCTACTTAAAACTGCCAGTGCCTTAAAAATGAGGACCATATTTCATTTGAATAATTTTTTTGCATGTGGTTTTGCCCCTAACAACCATATTTGTACTAATACTTGAATTCAACAAAAAATTTGACGCAGGCCACAATAAATTTACTCCTCTGTTTTACGGATAGGAAAGCACAGAAGTTTAGTGATCTACTAGAAGTCATACAGGTCAACCATGTGGAATTTGAATTAGAATGCAGGTGCTCCCAGCTCAATCACAGCAATAGCTAATCCCAAGCAATTATGTTCCATCACATTTGGAAAGTCACACCTGAGCATTCAAAGCAAGTAACTGGCCCCAGCAACTTAATGTCCCAGTAACTTAATCAGCCATTTCTGGATCCACTTGACCTTTGTATCATGGCTTCTCAGATGGGCCATCTCATCAAAGGCCTCAGAACATTGCATAGGGGAAAGATTACCACTAAAAAAGTAGTTTGTGGGAGTTCCCTGGTTGCTAAGCATGAGAACAAATGGCTATTGCAAAGCCATGCTCCTCAGGCTCCGGAATGTTGCTCTCCCTGAGACTTCCCTAAGCCAGTGGCTTTCAAATGGGTATACCCATAACCCTGACGGTGCAAATACTTTCCAAGGTGGAGGGCATGTGAGTAATGTTGAGTATCAATTTCCAGATTCTCAATCTCTGTATGTATTCCTTCCTAAGACTGATCTCCTTAGAACTTGTCTGAGGAATGCCAAGTTCTCTTTTCTCTAATGCTTTCATAAACACCCTTCTCCCACTTTATAAAATCACAAACAAAACACGAAGCCCACTGCTCATCTATTTTGGATAATGCATCCTTTGGGGTGTAAAGAATCTTCCTAGATCCAAACATTAGTGTTGTGCTGGCAAAGTGAATGACTCTAATGACTGCCTTACAAACCTTTTTGTAAGTCAGGTGGTTTCCAATTCTTTGTCTTCAACAAAACTGTAGGGGGATTTAAATGAATTGTTAAGCTGAAAAATGATTAGGCATAATTCAAAATTTAATGATCAATCATCATGTGATTTTTGACCTATAATTAGGAAGGAATTCAAAGAACAGAGGCATATAACTATAATAAAACTCCCTCTATTCTGTCTGCTTTTTAATATAAACCAGTTTTCTCAGCACTGAGGTCAGAAGAAAAAGAATTGATGCTGAACTCTATTCTATATATTTAAGTGGCATATAATCTTTGCCCGTGGACACATAAACTAATTAGAATAAGAAAAATAGAAAAACAATACACAAACAAAATACTTCATTCATCTCATTAAGACAAGCATTTGTAACAAAGCTTTACTTTAGATACTTAGTAATTATTAAAATTCATGATGTATTTATGTTGTTTTGGCCAATTGTAAATTGATAGTAATCGTGATAATTCAATCCAGAAGAAATTAGTGTGTGTGCTT